AAACAATCGATCTAGTTTGACACTCGAAGGAGAACCAACAATTTTCCTTCACAAAGAATGCATTTTGACAAAATCGACTTTTAAGAAAATTACCATGGCATTTCAAGCTCGGGAACAAATGTCAAATGATTTGTCAAAAATGTATAGAGAATTGTCTAAGTATAAAAAAAAATAATGAAATAATAATCGGCGAGTAGAATGACACTAAAGACTTGTCAATCAAGGAACATAGTCTTGATCATGTATGTAAACAAAAATTCAAAATCTGCAAAACTATGATTGTCATACAAAAAAAATCGCCACATATTCATGACAAACCAAATCATCGAGATGAAAATATTCTAGGAAATCCTATAGTAATCTGAATATTTCGTAAATAAAGCATAATGGTTCTAAACAAGAAGACTCTGACACATCTTGCTATGGTGAAAACTCGATTTTATTTTTTTTTAATAAATAGTTCGACTTTTTGTGAGGAAGCCTCAATGTATTAATCATCTGCTGCTAAACGATTCGTACTCTGTGTAATTCGATTCAGCCTAATTTTAGAAGCTCACCAGGTCAACATCACCCTGTCGGATCCGAAACTATCCGACAGCTTCCCACAGTCGGAATCCGATCGGATTCCAACTGTCGAAAACTATCATTATCCGTCAATTTCCGATGTCGGATTCCGCCAATAGGATCCAATGACATCCGACAATAGGATCCGATGATATCCGACAATAGGAAGTTGTCGGATCCGATGAAATACGATGCTCGAAAAATATCCAGAGGTACTTTATTTTATTTTAATTTGATTTAATTTAATTTATTTTATTTTAACTTAATTTATTTTTATTTTATTTTATTTACTTTAATTTTATTTTTGTTTTATATATTTTTATCTCATTTTATTTTTATTTTAGGTATTTTAACACTAGCTCGTTCTGTGACCGGTCAGATGCCTTAAGGCCTAAAGTGTAAAAGGACCGTTTTTTTATTTAGTGTATTTCATTAGTTTATTTAGTTTTATTTTACTTTTGTTTTATTTTAATGATATTTGACGTATTTTTTATTTTATTGTCTTTTGCTTTATTTTATTTTCTTTTAGATTTTAGTGCGGGATGAAATTAATCAACAGTGAATATAAGTTTTTTATTCTTTTTTATCTTTATTTTATTGTTTGGTGTTGTATTTGATCTTTTTGTGTACTCAAAAAGTGAGTACACTCTAGAATCGGTCAGTGTGTCCGTCCGGCCGTTAACACGATAACTTTTGAAAGGAGAGTCCAATTGCGATGAAATTTTCTACACAGTTCAGTCTTAACAATGTCTCGGTCGAGTTCGAAGATGAGCAGGATCCGTCAAGAAATGGCTGAGTTATCGAAAAAATTGTCATTATTGAGAAGATCATCCCTGAGGGGGAGTACAGGGATTTTTCAAAAAAAATATTTTTCTCAAAATTCTTCACAACATATATAAATCGACTCAGTTTTTAACGCTGATTCCGAATCTGATATTAGTTTTGAACCAAATTGTAGCCTTCTAACAGAACATCGCCTGAAAAAGGTCTCAAAATGCACAAAAANTTTTTCGCAGCGTCGAAAATTGGTCGCACACAATTTTGCTTCTTTTGAAAACAAAAAGTACAAAATTAAAATAAGCTTTACTTTGCACATTGTAGTTCTTTTCACGCTGCATCTCCTGGTATATTTTGTTTTTCTAAAACAACTTATTAAGTGATGCAAAAATGAAATGGAAAAAGGGCGTTTTTTTTGTCCGAGGGAGAATCATTGGGAGTTGACGGATAGAAAATATATGTTAGCTCAAATTTCAGAAATCTCTATTAACATGACTTCATTTTTCAGCTTCTTTTACTCTTGTTACTATACTGCTGTAACAGAATAAACTGCTGGTATATCAATTTTCCTTTATGTTGATTTCTCATACCTGTGTAAAAGCCTTCAGTGTGGCTATAGTTCTTTCATCTAAGAGTATAAGTTAATTAGAATCTACGTATTTTCTTTTTAGCATTCAATGGCGTCATCCTTTATAAGAAAAATGGCGGTAATTAATATATCCAGTTTCTTACTTATCTGCAGGTAATTGATTTATATATATATATATCCTTTGCTTTAATATATCTCATATGTGTCGCAAAATGTCATCTCCTTTTAGCTTTTCAGGTATGATCATCATTCGGAAATTTTTTTACATAGTTCAGCTTCTCTTTTGATAGGATCAATCAAATCACAAACATGTCATAACGTTCCTCAATATGGTGAATGTTCGACGAACAGTGCATGCGGTTGTTTTTACTTTGCGGCTGCTTACAATAGTGGTATTTGTGGGCTTCTTCACGTCACATGTTCGCAATTAACGCCATGTGCATCTCAGGGCAGGGAGTGTTATGAACCCGGTTACATTTGTGTTCATCATCCCCGTTGTCATAATCATTCAGTATGCTACCCATTGTCAATGTCTGCTCAAGAGATATGCCCGCCGATAACAACAAAGCCAAGTAATGCTCATTATCATGAGACGACAGTTATCACTACTTGATAACAGCTAACTAAACTAGGTAGTAACTGCTAGATAACGATAGCTGTTCCAACTCCCATTACTAGGGTGCAAGTGTAAACGATGAAAACGGTGACTCTCATCCATAGCCCCATTCAGGTCATTCTTATGCTGTTGGGAAGTATCAGTTTCAGTGTGCTTTAGACGTGCTCCTCAGCGAAAAATTTCCAGCGTACCTCTATCGGAGCCAGACAGAAAGTCATCGCAATCTTCCGATAAAAACTAATCGGATTCTTTAGCAAGTAACCTGCCGAAACATCAGAGATGCGGCACAGATCTCGCGAAAAACATCGGAATTAAAAGATTTGTGAGAATTTCAGTGGTCAGAATGATAGACCTTGTTATTCTGATAATATCTTGTGATATCATTCTTACGCAAAATGACATTTACTGTCGCTTTGAATTGGTAGCCAACTAGTGAAAATACACTTCATCCTCATCGGTTCCATCTTCCGTTAGGTTGTTGAATATCACATTATCTTTTTTCTTACAGGCTAGTTTCCATGAATGTGAGTCTGGATGTGAAATTAATGTCACATTTTCACCTCTACTCTCATACGATGGTGTCCCTGCGAAACAAGAATGTCCAAAGAGAAAAGAAAAGTACAGTGTGAATTAGTATCCGTATATTCTTTGTCATGAGCTCTATTTCATTGAACAACTTGCATGGTGTCTGTCACTGTCTGTAAGAGGCTGCAATTTTTATAGGTACTCATGCCAATAATCGATTTTGCACTGGTAGAACAACTTCATCTGAATGGATTCCTTACAATGAACCAGATTCAATCAGTGGGCTTCGTGTCCATGTAAACACATCATCTTGTGGCTTTCAGCGGACTCCATTATATTTCACGTCAATATCTGGTAGTTCTGCACACTGGCGTACTACGGGTGCTACATCGATCTATTCACCAACAGCGACGGATTTTGTTGTCTATTTGCTAACTTCGAATACTGGTATTCCAAATTATAGCATAAATTCGTTTGATTGGGCGCAAAAAAATCACTGGGAACTGAATTGGGTGGGAATCGTTCACGATTGATCAAAACTGTTTTCTATAATCGAACAAAAATGAAATAAAAATCATAATTTAGGAATCCATGCTCTGAACTCTGAGGTATGCTTTTCTTCGAGAGAGAAAATTGTATGTTAGAATTCATGATTTTTACTTATCTACTAGATTCTTTTTTTATTTGTTCTGAAATAAACTTTTATTCAAATTCACAACATTCTTTCTCATTAACCATAGAACAATTGGTGTTAACAAAAAAGAGTATTTTCATGTGAATCACAGTAATAATACTCAAATGATAGTATATGTCGATAGTTCTTTGAATAACATTATCTGTTACATTAATTGTAATATGTTGTTCTTTCGAATGTACTTTAATTGATTTTAATGGAAGATACATAATAGATGAAAATTCATTCATAGTAATAGATTGAAAGAAGAGAATATTCTTCAAAAGACTTGAAAATTTTACTGAAACTATAAATGAACAATTAAACTAACGAAAATTTGGTTTTAATATAATAATTAGTGGAAAAACAAAACTTCCTTCATAATTCCTTTTTTTTGTTAACATAATGGTCTTTTCAACTAAGCAAGAGATTTTAATTTATTAAACATCAAGTGATGAGAAAGTAAACAACGAGAAATTTATTATTTCGTCCTTTTCAATTCATCATAGGTTTATAACAATGATGCACCCATGTATAAAAAGTTCCCGGAATGACTTTATTTTGGAATAAACAAAAGCTTGAGTGTATGTGTGCGAAGAGCAGATAGTATTCTGAATGAAAAACTACTACAGGAAAAAAATTCATCCTGAACAAAGTTCTATAAGATATAACTTTGAATCAGTCTCCATCTAATAGATACTAATATAACCTAAGATTTTATAAAAGTGGACAAAAGTTAGTATCAAAATGATTAGATGGATTTTCTCTGCTGATTTATACGTGATTCAACAAGTTGAAATAATGAAAGCCGAAAGAATTCAAAAAGCATTCTTATGCATCTACATCCTATGGATATAATTAGGCATGCTCGAAAGGTGTCGCACGCAAATGCATGTAACAGTACTCTAGTGATCATACTTATGTATCAACTTCGTCCATTTTCAACAAAAATAAACTACTCGTATTAATGCGACTTGGGTCAGATGCAAAAACTCAGACGGTACCTTAGGTAGAGTTTTTTGTAATTGATTGGTTCAGGTAACTAAGCTTTGCTCGTTCTGTCTATGTTCTCAACAGAATGAAGAAGAAAAAGTAACGTACGTCCAGTTTACATTAAGTCAGTAACTGAGAAAAACATCTAAATCAAAGAAAAGATGCATTGTCATAGAATAACAAACCATTTGGCAGAACGATATAGATGAAAAACTTGTAGCGAATAACAAAACTCTCATTCAATGGTGTCACTTATTCGTAAAATGCTTAATAAATTATTCGCTGCGCCTGAATATCGCGTTCTAATTATGAGTCTTGATGTATCAGGAAAAACAACAATTCTTTATAAATTAAAACTTAATGAAACTGTTCAAAGAATTCCGACTATTGGTTTCAACGTAGAAATAGTGATGTTTAACCATACTTCTTTAACTATTTGTAATGTAGGTGGGCATGATAAAATCCATCCTTTAATGCGACACTATTTTCAAAATACACATGCTGTTATTTTGGTGCTCGAGTCAACTGATAGAGATCGATTACCGCAAGCAACAGAAGCATTGTGGCGTGTATTATCAACCGTCGAATTAATCTACATACCCATATTAATCTATTTAAATAAAATCGATTTACCTGATGGAATGAAACCTGAAAGTATTATTAAAGAAATGAGACTTAATAACATTAGAAATAGACAATGATTTTTGCAACCATGTTGTGCTTTTATGGGTGATGGTTTGTATGAAGGCTTAGGTTGGTTAGTACGTTCATTGAAATCTCCACATATTTCGAAATCTACATAAACAATTATGAAATCAAAAAGTTTGATAACAACAGCTGAGAATAATCCTGATGAAAATAAATCATCAAAATGGTTTTCCCAAACAGATGACGATACAAACGAAGATTTCGTAGAGAAATTCGAAAAATATCAATTATCAATCGAAACATTTGATCATCGAACATTATTGAGAATAATATAGACATATTTAACAGAAAATGACAGACAAAAGACTGTAAAAGTACTATTTGATTATCTCAAGTTCTATATTCAAGATATGAATGAGCCATTAATTTATTTCTGGATCCAAATCGTGCATTATGCATTCACAACGACGAAAAATCCAACAAGTGATTTTACTGGTTTCTTATCGATGAACCCTCAAATACTCAACGCAACTGAATTACCACTGACGTGAGCTATTATCAAACAGATACATTATTCAGTAATCAAGCAAGAACAATCATGGTTTTGTCAGATGTGAAACAGTTACCAAGCATTTTACCTACACCTTCCACTTCTGATACCAATACAGAGAAGAAAAAAACTGATTCAATACGTGAGCCATCAATTGATGAATTAGACGATTATGAATTTCTAAAACAATTTGAATCATGTACGTTAAAAAGTTGGTCGCATAAAACTCATTTACGTATGGCATGGCTCTATTTAACACGTGATGCACGTGGTGCAGGAGTCATCAAAATATTTGATGGTATTAAGAATTTCATTGACAATTGCCCAATTGCGATAAAGACAACATTTCACTTTACAATGACGTATTCCTAGATTCAAACGATTGATCTAGCCATAGCACAAAGTCTCAAACAGATCGATTTTGAAGAACTCCTTCGCTTAAATCCACGTTTGCTCAAGGAAGATTTATTTCTGGAATATTACAAAAAAGAAACGATGTTGAATAGTCCAAGTGCTAGACAAGAAATGGTATTGCCAGATATTAAACCAATACCAACATTTGTTACAACTAGCAACAAAAAGTGAACTCATCATTTTTCGATTTGTGTATGTAAATGTTTTTTTTTTGTATAGAAATGAAGTCTATTAAATGAAAAAGAATATTTAGAATCAACTAAAATAGCTAAATATCATTAACGATTTATATTCGGTCAGTTACCGGTGAAAATAGTCCTCATTTAGAAATAGATCGTATATTGACTGTTTACGATGCTTGATAACCACTCAGATCTATTGTTTGGGTAACTATTTCATAGATGTCTGAGTTGACGATTCTTCTCTGCATTCACTCTCGAATTAAGATATCTTCGAACTACTAGGATAATATCTCACACTATTATAAAGCCCGTTTCGACAGACTTTCTGAGATGACAATATTGAATCATATATATTTAGCGAAAACGAATACCATCATTTTCACCATACTTAGAACGAACAATCATGTTGATTGGAGACATTCATGTATATATCTCCATGCTCTCATGAAATAGTTATTTCATCAGTAGCTCTCGTTAAAAATCGTTTTCATCTCCGTATACATATGAGTTCCGAATTTGAATAATTTGATTTTATGAATTATTAAATATTGCCTCAAACTGTTCAATAGAATTGATAGTATATGTTAGCCGTCTTGATCTTTGAATATTTGTTCAAGTTTGGTGTTATATGGATGAGAGAATAGTAACCAATAAGGTTTCTTTGCTTGCAACCATGATCAGATAACACAAGTAACGCTCGTCGTTGTGATTCGCTTGATCCTCGATTGGATGTTCAACTGTTTCTGTATAATATACTACTTAACAAGCCCAATCGATACTAATGTCAAATGTGTAAGTTATCTCTTGACTTACATCCACCCACACACACTCACGTCGACTTCTTCGCCTGTTTCACTAATCTCTGATGCATCATTGGATGAACGATTGAACATCTCCATCACCAATTTTAGTATCATTATCGATTTCACATGATCAGCACGATATACAATTTTGAACTGTTCTGAAAAGATGTTCGACAGGCTCTGTTTCTTTAGGATATTTGATGGATTGAAAATCAACTCGTTTAAAAAGTTTGGCAGCCGTCATTTTCGAAACGAAATAGGAGAAAACGGTTAAGCCAGCTAAGTAGTATGTATACACTACAGTCGATGCTCGCGTGGCTCTCAAACAAAGAAAAAAAACGACTGTTTCTACTTATTTTCGTTCCTTTCTGCATTGAAGCATAATAGCAAAAGTTATGTGACCTTTACGTTGGAATCAGTCAAATCTTTTTCAGTGAATATGAATGAATCTTCTAACGGGTGTCCCAGAATAAATTATACCATTCGTATTTTGAGTATAACTCTTCTATTATCCATTAGATCGGGACATCTTTTTATACTAAAAGATAGCGCTTGAAATTCTCTACAAAATNAAATCGAGACATGCAACAGATCTTTGTTTTAAAACTAAAGCATGTCATTTAAAAATGTGTTATGAATTTTAAAATGACATGCTTTAACTGCAATCACTTTGTCCAAGTATGTTAAATCTGCAATGCCACTTCGAATCAGAATGGATCAATACACAAAAAATTTGACTACATGTTGTTCAGGCCACAAGTTTCGGCCTGGCCTGGCCTGGTCTGCAGGCCAGGCTGAATCTAGCCTGGTTTGATGCAGGCCAGGCTAAAATCCTAAAAATCGGCCTGGCCTGGTAGCCTGGCCTGGCAGGCTGGCAGCTCTGTTTCAAACCATGCTTTGAAATATATCTCGAATATGGTTAAAATATCTAAATTAGGGTACTCTACAACCGCGAAAAAATTACTCGTATGGGTTAAGTCTAAAGGATGTTAATATGAATTGTGTAGAGATCGAAATATTAATATTTATCCAGTACTTTAAATATTAGATGATGAAAATTCGAAGATAAGTACCGATGTTTGAAAAGTCGCCTACATTTTAAATTCTTTATGATTAAATGTTATAACTGTGTGAATATTCTTATCTCATTTTGTCTGAATTAAGTTAGAGAAAATGATCGATTCATATTTCAAACTATCAGTGCGAGTCGAATACGATTATCAATATTAGAAATACGAGTAGCATCTAAGTTTGAATGATACGTGTAAAGAACAGTGTGACTATTGTCCATATGGATAACAAACTACAGTACAGATCGAACAGGAGCCTTCAAAGCGAGGAGAGTGTACATTATTCTCCTATTAATTGAAGACGAATTGTTATTATCCAGCAAAGCGAACAAGAGTTTTTGAATTTTTACTACTTCTGTGAGACATTTTTGTATGCATTTCCCAATCTTGAGACTCTCATGCGGCTTATGAAATTGAGTCGAATACGAAGAATTGCATCTATGCAGTTCTTTACTTTAAAAATATTATGCAAATCAATGCAATTTTATCAATAATCACCAAAATCGAACGAAAATTGAATCAATATTCTTTAATTTCTACACTATTTAATGAACTTTTTTGTTCAAAAAATGTCATATCAGATGTACGCAGAAATTCCTATTAGAGTCTATCCTTTATTGGTCTATGAAACGACTGACAAACTGGATGAATGCTAAACAAAGCTTTGCCACGAAATGAAGTTTAACAAATTCTTTTTGTCTCATGCTTCTACGAAAAAAAAAATAAGACCAATATTCATAGTATACATATTCTCGATGTATAATTTTACTTTACGTTAAGATATAAGAAGTGATACATGAAGAATTGTAGTGATAGTGTTTTCTAATTTTCTTCACTTGACCAACATAAGTCTTCGAATCAAAAGATCAACATCAAACTATCCAAGAATCCATGTATGATTTTTGTTTGAAATTCGTTTGAAACAGAGTAAGAAAAGATAAAAGGTAAAAACATCCGAAATGTTTTTGACATGACATCGGATTATTTCATTACAAGTAACATCTTAATGAATATACAAACGTTTAATAAAATCGACACTATCAGGTTGGCTTCTTCCACATATCACAATGGTAAGATTCTAACAAAAAGCAAACATTTGAAGGATGAAACTACGATTTGATCGAGATAAGTGACTATTTGAAAGAAATCGATCACTGAAATGAAAACTTAAAGAAGAACTCAGTAAACATTGTGGAACAATCTTGACGATTTTGCAGAAAAAGAAACTCGATTAGCTAAAGATGTCTGATCCATAGAAAGTGAGGTGGATATGATTTACAACTGAACTATTAACATATCTTCCATATATGAGATAAGAAATTCTTTTTTTTAATTAAAAAATGTTTGACTTAGACGAAAGATTAAATTCGGATAACGATCGTATATATATGATAGTCAACTATCAGAAGAATCATATGAAGTTTTTTGTGTCAAAGACACCAATATTAACTATTCCTATTTGTGAACGATTTGCTGATAATAAAATAATTCGACGTTAATTTGAAAAAATTTCGTTCGTTTATCAGCAAGTTCTTATTTATTTTTTAAAAATCTTTTAATTCAAAGGTATATTTTCATCAAATGAAGAAAATTTGAAAATACAATTACTAGAATTCTTTATATACACCTCTTATTCGTAAAACTAATTCTAACATTTGTATCTGTGTAATCATAATAATAAATAGAAAGTTTCAATTTTATCGCATAGTAGACGTAGACAGCAAATATGTCTACTCTGAATATTAGACTCTGTATTGAATGACCTCAAAGAATGTCTTCAAAATTTCTTTCACAATATATTTTAACCGTTATCTTTGTCTTTATTTTTTTTTACTAAGTTTTAACATTCAAATCATTCTTCTTGTAATAATTGTTGAAGTGAAACTCCGACTGAGTTGAATTAAACATTGAAACTAAGTAATCCTGAATTTAGACGCAATCATCCTATTGCAATCATGTTGATAATCCAAGGTGAAAAACTTTTAAAAATTTTAACTTACATCTACATGACGATAGAAGATTTATACCAATAGATTCCTGGAAACTCTTTCGTTGCTTGTATTACAATTGACACACATACTTTCATTTTAATATAAATTTCTATTATGAGTCACTGACTATGACAATCTCTCGGTATTCTCTATAGTGAATCTTATTTTACAGAAGAAGTATGTGTTAGTTTGTCGTTATGGTAAAGAGCTTTAATAGAATCAGAGGTGCAGAACCGAACCATAGACTGCAGTATCACTGCTGGATAAAGCAGAGTTCTTGAAGAAATTCTGGAAAATTTAAGAAAAGAAAGACAGCTGAATTAATGTGAAAATCTAATAAACGGTTAAATGAGAAAGTTTCCTACGTCAAATAGAAAATATGTAGATTTATTTGAAGAAAAAAATACAATTTTTTAAAAAGAAGAATACAAGTAACTCAAGGAAACAATCTCATTCTTATGAAAGAAATTAAAATTTTCTGGGAACAATTGTTACAAATACGTTGATCTTTCTCTAAACTCGAGATTATTCTTTTTTCAAGATATAATTCTGTGTTCATGGTCTCTTTTGGTATTATTTAATCATAACGATCGGAGAAGTGGTTTTACAAAAAATACAGATTTTTCTTATGTTTCCAGCTATAATTTTTCTCGTTGATTTTTTTAGCGAACTTGTTCTACATTTATTATATCTTGCAGCTTAGAATTTTTTTAGAGAACAACTACGAATAAAAAGCAACTTCTCAGCAAAGAAGTTAAATGTGACATACAACTGTGAATAGAAAATATCATATTCTGATACATATATTTTTAAAAATCAAGGAAAATTTTTCAGTTATTTCTAAGTGCTTTAGTGAAAGTTTGGTGTTTTTACATCTTGAAATCGAATATTCTGAGTTAGCAATACATTCAG